ATCGATATTGTAATGGACGGTTGTCACCATTGGTTGCCATGTATGTTTGTTGCTGTTTCACATCGTAAAGTTCAAACCATATTCCTGTCCGTATTGCCTTGGACACATTTAGTGTGACAGATCACGTGTGTAGAGAACACATTTCATCACAAACGTCATCTTTGATAAGCTCGCCATTGACCTCTGGTGGAATGTTTGGGTTTGGTGCAGAATCTCGGGACGTCAACGTCTCTGTACGAGGGGTGTTCATTAAAGATTTCCCCTAAACAACTTAGGGTTATCATATTTGGTTGAAATTTCACATGTGTAATGATATATGTATATATGGGTTATGTGTGAATTTGCAGCACCGAACTATTAATCTTACCACTTTTACAGGTGTTTTGATCGAGTAGGGTGTGACAATGGAGCCAGTAGAATACCGAGCAGTGAATAGGTTTTTATATTTGAAAGGTCGCAAACCAGAAGAAATGAAAGCAACTTATGGGGAAGATGCCCTATCACATGACGTTGTTAAACACTGGCATCGCTAGTTCAAGTGTGGTCGGACATCTGTGGAAACACCTGCCATTCCTGGTCGCCCCCATTCAGCCATTGATGAGGACACTATACATCAAGTGGAGACCGCCATTTTGGCAGACCGACGTATAACTGTTCGCCAGTCAGCACAAGATGTCAAGATCAGTGTAGGGTCTGTGGATAAAATCACCCATGACTATTTGAACATGCATAAGGTGTCTGCACGATGGATTCCCAGGTTGCTGACACCTTTCCAAAAGCAGGAACGAGTCATTTGCTCAAAGGATATTTTGGAAATGTGCCAAAAAAACAGGCAAACTTTTTGACAGACTTATCACACAGGATGAAACATGGGTCCATCACTATAATCCGAGCAGAAATTCTGATTCATGTGATTCATACAGAAACAGATCCGCAGGAAAAGGAGCACAGTTTGTGGCAACAGTGATGACTACGCCTTGCCTAAATGTCTCACCTCCACATGTTACGTGGATGTTATCAATGAGGAAGTCCAGCATTTCACATATGGTTTTCTGAACAAACTTCAGATGGTATTTGCTTTCATTTTTGTGTGTGTTGACAATACTCAGACTGTGTGTATATGTACGTGACATCCTGGTCCTGGTTCTGACGCATGGGGAATAAGGGGACGCCCTTTCCACTGCCCCAACCAAGCCGACAGATCATTGCTAACATTTTATAAATGTAAATACTAAGACATGATGATTAGGGCACTCAGATGAACTTGCAACGAGGTCTGTATTCAATCAACTGTCCACATTAGCCACGGTACTCTGTATTCAATCAACTGTCCTCATAAGCCAAGGTTCTCTGTATTCAATCAACTGTCCACATAAGCCAAGGTTCTCTGTATTCAATCAACTGTCCACATAAGCCAAGGTACTCTGTATTAATCAACTGTCCACATTAGCCAAGGTTCTCTGTATTCAATCAACTGTCCTCATAAGCCAAGGTTCTCTGTATTCAATCAACTGTCCACATAAGCCAAGGTTCTCTGTATTAATCAACTGTCCACATAAGCCAAGGTTCTCTGTATTAATCAACTGTCCACATAAGCCAAGGTTCTCTGTATTCAATCAACTGTCCTCATAAGCCAAGGTTCTCTGTATTCAATCAACTGTCCACATAAGCCAAGGTTCTCTGTATTCAATCAACTGTCCACATAAGCCAAGGTTCTCTGTATTCAATCAACTGTCCTCATAAGCCAAGGTTCTCTGTATTCAATCAACTGTCCTCATAAGCCAAGGTTCTCTGTATTCAATCAACTGTCCTCATAAGCCAAGGTTCTCTGTATTCAATCAACTGTCCTCATAAGCCAAGGTTCTCTGTATTAATCAACTGTCCACATAAGCCAAGGTTCTCTGTATTCAATCAACTGTCCTCATAAGCCAAGGTTCTCTGTATTCAATCAACTGTCCACATAAGCCAAGGTTCTCTGTATTCAATCAACTGTCCACATAAGCCAATGTTCTCTGTATTCAATCAACTGTCCACATAAGCCAAGGTTCTCTGTATTCAATCAACTGTCCTCATAAGCCAAGGTTCTCTGTATTCAATCAACTGTCCACATAAGCCAAGGTTCTCTGTATTCAATCAACTGTCCACATAAGCCAAGGTTCTCTGTATTCAATCAACTGTCCTCATAAGCCAAGGTTCTCTGTATTCAATCAACTGTCCACATAAGCCAAGGTTCTCTGTATTCAATCAACTGTCCACATAAGCCAAGGTTCTCTGTATTCAATCAACTGTCCACATAAGCCAAGGTTCTCTGTATTAATCAACTGTCCACATAAGCCAAGGTTCTCTGTATTCAATCAACTGTCCACATAAGCCAAGGTACTCTGTATTCAATCAACTGTCCACATAAGCCAAGGTTCTCTGTATTCAATCAACTGTCCACATAAGCCAAGGTTCTCTGTATTAATCAACTGTCCTCATAAGCCAAGGTACTCTGTATTAATCAACTGTCCTCATAAGCCAAGGTACTCTGTATTCAATCAACTGTCCTCATAAGCCAAGGTACTCTGTATTCAATCAACTGTCCACATTAGCCAAGGTTCTCTGTATTCAATCAACTGTCCTCATAAGCCAAGGTTCTCTGTATTCAATCAACTGTCCTCATAAGCCAAGGTACTCTGTATTCAATCAACTGTCCACATTAGCCAAGGTTCTCTGTATTCAATCAACTGTCCTCATAAGCCAAGGTTCTCTGTATTCAATCAACTGTCCTCATAAGCCAAGGTTCTCTGTATTCAATCAACTGTCCTCATAAGCCAAGGTTTTTCCGTATCAAATCAACTATCCTCACTGGCCAGAGTTCTCTGTATTGAATCAACTGTCCCAACTAACCTGGGTTCTCTGTATTCAATGAGATGTCCGCATTAGCTAGAGTTCGCTGTATCAAATCAACTGTCCTGACTAGCCAGGGTTCTCTGTATTCAATCAACTGTCCACACTAGGCAGTTTGACAGTTCGGGAACATTGCGGCTGAAATATGTCCACTTACCACTAACATATTACAAAGTCATAAAACTGAATAACATCAAACAGATGTTAGTGATATCGTTCCCTTAAGCTTATTGTTTTGCCCCTGAGATAAGAACGCCATGTTGCGGTCATGATCTCTATTGCCATGCCCACACTCCTGATCTTGCCCCTCACATATCAGTGTATCACTGGTACAGCACCTATATATAGACCAGATATACACCTCACAAGATCTATCTGGTCAGAGAAGGCAGGTGTCCCTTATGTAAAATTTAACATATCTGATTTCACTTATTTGGAGCGACAGCAAGACACTTTTACGAACAATCGAGTCCCTGTCACTGTTCCACACAGCTGAACACAGCTAAAGACATATCTTGTCCGCCTTTTCTTTCCCAACCTAAAGTATCGTTTTATTGTCAGCATGCCTCGTGAAGTTTGGCTCTACATGATTGAACCTATAATTCTTACACCAAGGTATGTTTGTACCAAGAAACACGATGACCATTCTGCTAGTATACTTGTGCATTAAAGACTGTTTGCTACCACCACAAATATCTCTCTGAACCACGTTTGTCAATAACAAAAATGGAAGAAACAGTGAGAGAGTGAATGAGTGAGTTGGGTATATAACGACAGAATTCTAGTTATATCACGACATGTCAGCTTAATGTGTGAGGAAAGCCCGAATGGATGCAGGTCGTAAGACATTTACCACTTTTGGTGAAAACGACGAGCAAGTGTAGGGTGGTAAGAAACCTAAAAACATAACCTGGGCGAACGGGGATGCAAACCCACCTTCACTTTCCCGGTTTTTCCTTCTGCATCACTCAGTTCAAGGCGGCCCGTAGAAACAGTAGTCTAGGCCATATAGGCCACATTTTTCTCCGGTTATCAGACGTTTGTCAGTTTGGTGAAATCCACAAGCACTGGTATGGCGCTAACAAACCCACAAGCATAGTCTTGGCGAACCGGGTATCGAACTCACTATGGTAGGTTCTGTAGGCGTGTCCACGGTACCTTACTCTGTATTGCGAATTGTTGCGCCTAAGACGACGAATCAGCCACCCGTTCCTCCGGGAAGAAAACGAGTAGTGCAAATGGTCAAGTTGATATAATCAAATTTCCCTTATGTTCACTGCAATTCCTGCATTCTGAATTGGTCACGTGTTATTGTATTCATTTCCCAATGAAACAGCCGCCTTCTCCCAGACATATTTGTTCCGGTTCGCTACAGTCTGACTGTTGCAGTTCTTCTCGCTTCTGCCTTAATTTACAGGTCACATGAACTTTGTTTAATGTTACTAGTACTCCACTGATTGGCTACTGACTTTGTGGGCGTGTCAAGTTGTGTGCATAAATTAAACGATCCCCTGATTCATGTCTTGCCTCAGAAAATATCTCTGTACCTGGAATGTTTATCAATCTCATAGTTTTTCTCTACTTTGATTCATATAATTGCTTTTGATTAAACACTTGTAGATACCACGTGTTTTCGTTGTAGAATGTAGTTGTTAGGATTGATTGTGTGTTTGCTTCGTTCATTGAAGAATGAATCACAAATCCGATGTGAAAGATTTTTCGCAGTCAATCTTAAAAAATTACCTGAATACATGACGTTGGGTGTGTGAGTGCGTGGGTGAGTTTTGGTGACTGGCGAGTTCGGACGAGTGAGTGAGTGAGTGAACAGGGTCTAGGTAAGTGAGTGAGTGTTTCAGTACATTGCAGTATTTCAGTACAGTATTTGAGTTATATCACAACAAAGCAACTTGACTAGGATTAAATCCCATAGGGGTGTACAACTGAGACATGGAGATTGTGCTGGCACACACAGATATATGATGAGGCCGAATAAATATACAATGCACCTGTCCACAATGCATCAGCTTGCATTACACAGATCAGAGTCACGAGATGGTTCCGCTACAATAACTAGACCAGTTGCTCGACTGCCTGTGAATAGGAGAGGGGGAACTTGATCTGCTCACATTGCTTTGTTACCTAATGTTTACGTCAGTGTTTTCTGCAGGGTCGAGATGTGCCTTGCTACAGTGTACTGCGCAGAACGTCGGAGGGTCGGACAGATTACAGTGACTCGACTTTTGATCCTGTCATGATGGCAAGTGAAACTTAACAAGTAAGTGTATTTTCGGCTAATAACTACGTTCCTTTCCGTGGTGATTACACATGGGCTTTTATGACTGCATCTAATACAGAAGCCACGTCCTTTCAATGGCAAGAAACTATTTGAGTGGTCTTTCAGTATAAAACATCTAACACAGAATAATCTGGATTATGTACACATTCATGGGAGGATCTTGAGGAGTTCGTAGCAAGCGGATGGTATGAACTAGCTGTGATTTATGTTGTTTGATGGCTTGTGGTGGCGAATCTGGACTGCTACCAGTTTTTTCGATCAACCATTGTATGTAATCCTATTAGGTTGAAAAATCAATATGTGTACACCTGCTGCACATGCGTTGACGATTGTGCGGGAGACTGCTACCTTACATAAGATACAACTATATCCAGTCAGTGGTGGAGTACGGTGCGGTGATTTGGGGTTAAACGATGCGTTGAACATTGTTGTACTTATAAAACTAAGTGTTTTTTTGTGTTTTTGGGGTTGTTTTTGTGCGTGCGTGCGTGCGTGTGCGTGCGTGTGTGTGTGTGTGTCTGAATGTGCGTGCGTGCGTGCGTGCGTGCGAGTGTGTGTGTGTGTGTGTGTGTGTGTGTGTGTGTGTGTGTGTGTGTGTGTGTGTGTGTGTGTGTGTGTGTGTGTGTGTGTGTGTGTGTGTGTGTGTGTGTGTGTGTGTGTGTGTGTGTGTGTGTGTGTGTGTGTGTGAGTGCGTGCGTGCGTGTCTGATTGTACTTGTCCCGACTAATTCTGATTGTATCGTGCTGGTACACGGAGATACCGTGCTGCAGTTTAACGCGAATACCCTACTTAGACACAGTAGACTGACCAGTCCTTAGCTTGTTTTGGCCCCAGGGTAGCAACCAGTAGCATCTTTCAATGTATGTTGGTATGTCACAGCCGGGCTAGTGTGGAGTAAGGGACCAGCTCTCCGTGACACTGTCTCTCTAGAAACACACCGGTCTCACTTCTTTCAATCCTCTGGTGTGTAGTGTGGAGTGGGGGACCAGCTCTCCGTGCCACTGTCTCTCTAGATACACATCGGTCTCACTTCTTTCAATCCTCTGCAGTGTAGTATGGAGTGGGGGACAAGCTCTCCGTGCCACTGTCCCTCTTGATACACATCGGTCTCACTTCTTTCAATCCTCTGCAGTGTAGTGTGGAGTGGGGGACCGGCTCTCTGTGTATGTGTGAGGCTGCCTGTGTACACTGGACCTGTGTGTGTGAGGCGGCCTGTGTACACTGGACCTGTGTGTGTGAGGCGGCCTGTGTACACTGGACCTGTGTGTGTGAGGCGGCCTGTGTACACTGGACCTGTGTGTGTGAGGCGGCCTGTGTATACTGGACCTGTGTGTGTGAGGCGGCCTGTGTACACTGGACCTGTGTGTGTGAGGCGGACTGTGTACACTGGACCTGTGTGTGTGAGGCGGCCTGTGTACACTGGACCTGTGTGTGTGAGGCGGCCTGTGTACACTGGACCTGTGTCTGAGGCGGCCTGTGTATGCAGGACCTGTGTGTGTGAGGCGGCCTGTGTACGCAGGACCTGTGTGTGTGAGGCGGCCTGTGTACACTGGACCTGTGTGTGTGAGGCGGCCTGTGTACACTGGACCTGTGTGTGTGAGGTGGCCTGTGTACACTGGACCTGTGTCTGAGGCGGCCTATGTATGCAGGACCTGTGTGTGTGAGGCGGCCTGTGTACACTGGACCTGTGTGTGAGGCGGCCTGTGTACACTGCACCTGTGTGTGTGAGGGGGTCTGTGTACACTGGACCTGTGTGTGTCAGGCAGCTTGGGCGACCCTACCGGATCTAGAAGATTGGGAGGTGAAATCTGATTCGCGCTGGAATGCTGTTTGATAGGAACCTTCCATCTGTGTTTGACCATTTGACAACAAATCACATGAGGTACTATCAGGAACCTGTCTATCACTTGTTCTAGTTTCGGTTTGAGCTGACGCTCTGATGACCTCATTTCCGAGGGGAATCCCCGAACGTCCGTCACACTGAGATTGACGAATAAGATCTTGTTGTGTGGGGGTGTATTCAGGGGCGTTCCTGTACATTGTAGAAGGCCGAGGTAGGTGTAAGTGAATGACGTCAGTAGCAGTATAACAGTGACAGAGTTACCTGTGACATAAAAGGTGTATTGTACCCAGTATCCTCATAGACATTCGTCACCACTCGCGTCTTTCCACAGACTTCAAGGGGTTCGTGCATTTCTCGATTACCGACGTAAGCTAATCAGAATGCCCGTCAATTTTGCGGTACTTCGATCCTGAATAGTAAAATTAATTATGGTAACATGAGAAATTGAACATTTGGTAGCACACATCACAACAACATAGAAATCTATAAGAATAAAGGACTGTTGGTGTATTATACACTGGTATTATTCCTTGTGAGACCTTGAATGATGATAAATTCAAATACACACGTTCATCTCTGTACACCAAGGATACCACACCCACAGCGACACCCTTTACACCCAGGATACCATACCCACAGCGACATCCTTTACACCCAGGATACCACACCCACTGCAACATCCTTTACACCCAGGATACCACACCCACTGCGACATCCTTTACACCCTGGATACCACACCCACAGCGACATCCTTTACACCCGGGATACCACAACCACATCGACATCCTTTACACACAGGATACCACACCCACTGCAACATCCTTTACACCCAGGATACCACACCCACTGCGACATCCTTTACACCAAGGATATCACACCAACTGCGACATCCTTTACACTCAGGATACCACATCCACAGCGACATCCTTTACACCCAGGATACCACACCTACAGCGACATCCTTTACACCCAGGATACCACACCCACTGCAACATCCTTTACACCCAGGATACCACACCCACTGCGACATCCTTTACACCCAGGATACCACATCCACAGTGACATCTTTTACACCCAGGATACCACACCCACAGCGACATCCTTTACACACAGGATACTACACCCACTGCGACATCCTTTACACAAAGCATACCACACCCACAGCGACATCCTTTACACCCAGGATACCACTGCGACATCCTTTCCATTGAGCTATACGTCTGCTTAGCTTTACCAACCAAAACCAAATTCGGTCTAATATCCATTTTGATGATATGCCTAGATCTGAAAAATATATTAAATGTAGTGAGGTGAGGTGAAATTGGGTTTAGCGTCGCGTCCAAGATTATTGCACTTGTGCATGCACGTGTGTGTATGTGTGTGTGGCTGCTTGTACTAGACCGGATTGATGCCGATTTATAGTGCTAGCCCACTGTGATACCATGTCGCAGTATAAAATGAATACCCCACTCAGACACAGTATACTGACTCCAAGCCGACCAGTCCTTGTTTTAGCCCCTTAATGTCGAGCGCCAGACAGGGTAACAACAAGTACCATCTATTAGCGTCTTTTGGTATGACGCGGCCGGGGATCGAACCCTGGACCCTCTGCTCTCCGGGCGGACGCTCTACCACAAGACCCGGGAGGCGGTCTATAGGTAGTGAAATAGCATCGTTTTACATACTTTATTTTTGTGTCTGTGTGTGTCTGTGTGTAAACGTACCGGTCTATGTGTCTGTTTGAGTGTACCTGTGTGTGTTTGCCTGTGTATGTGTCTCTGTGTGTATGATTGAATGTGCGTGTGACTGTAAGTGAATGTGTGTGTGTGTGTGTGTGGGGGGGGGGGGGGGGAGGGTGGTGTGGTGTGGGTGTGTGTGTGTGTGTGTGTGTGTGTGTGGGTGGTGAGGAGTTGGTAGAACTGGGTAAGCATTGTCGTTTGTTAGCCTTAATCCTAAGATTGTTATTTGTGTTGAAAACATATCAGAATAGAACAAATATAATATGTGAAAAATGATATTACACGTAAGACGTATAATTGGTCAGGTGTCACAGAGTGACTTAACAGCACCCAGTTTTGACAAGGTATATACAGTTTATGAATTATAACCTCTCGTCTTCACTTTTCTACAATGTTGGGAAATCAAGACAATCACAATCGTACCAACAGTCAATTGAGCCGTTGTCTGACACAACAACTGCTATTATGACATTTATAAATCTTTATATTGTCATTGTCTCTTCGTCTGTCTATTATTGTCCATTAGTACATTTGTGTTTTTAATGTAAACTGTTAGTCTGTCATATCAACGCCAGCGAATAATCCCCTGAGTAAGGTATGTAGCTTACATGCAGTGACAGTGTAACAGTGTAGTGTGTTGCTGTAGAGTGACAAGAGTTACCTCCCCTACATAAGACATGCAGGTTATATACAGGTGCAGTGTAACAGTGTAGTGTGTTGATGTAGTGTGACATGAGTTACCTCCCCTACATAAGGTATTACGGCTATATACAGTGGCAGTGTAACAGTGTAGTGTGTTGCTGTAGAGTGACATGAGTTACCTCCCCTGTTAAAGGTATGTAGGTTATATACCATGGCAGTGTAACAGTGTAGTGTGTTGCTGTAGAGTGACAGGAGTTACCTCCCCTGTTGAAGGTATATAGGTTATATAAAAATGAATCATTTTTATTCTCGTAAATCACGGCAGTGATACAGAGATGTAATTGGACACAGGAATTAGATACAATGAAGAAAACATGTCAGTGGAACATTTCCATACATGATCTTATATAACTTGCCAGTTTTAATAGAATTGGCTTAAAAGTAATGGACATCAAATGAGAGAATTTTACGGCAGAAGGATACATACAGTAGTATTGAGGCAAAAACTTGTTTTTAATTTCTGAGAGTTTTGGAGTTTTTCTAATAAAAAGTGCATTTCATCACTTATAAAAAAATTACACAATGTACATTTTCTTTCCTCTCTCACAATATTATACCCTCTTCCTGTTTCAATGGGTGATCTATGATTTGCTGTTCTAAAACGAGCAAGAGAGATGCGTAAGGTGATTGGTAGTTCTAGTAAATAAGGTTCTAGAGATGGTAACTCTTTAAACATGTCATAATAGTAACCTTGA